CAGATATGCCTCTACTCTTTGGCCATCTTTTCTAGTAAGTGAAATATTTTCAGAAATGTAAATGTATTATTCTCTTATGTTAAACCATGAGCCAGATTGGATGTCTGTCACCGAGCACAGATGAGGGACAGCTACTGGACCGTCCATCTTTTTTTATTTTTGAGGCGGGGGTCTGGGATTTTGTATCCGGAGTTGGTGTTTGTATCAACTACAGCTACAGAAAACAGATATTTATTAAAATTTAAAACTTTGAGCATGAAAGTACACTATTTTCATAAATAATCAGGAAGGCTACGATAAATCCCATTTCTTCTTACCTTTTTTCTCTGGAAACTACAAATCAACATGCACTGGACACAGACATGTGTAACACAACACGCGTCTTCGTTCTGGTAGAAGGTTTATTTCCAGGAAGTACAAATGGTCCTGTCTCTCAAAAGGGACCGTTTCTCTGTGTGCTGCTAGTGGTGTTTGCCTGTTGGTCTCTCCTAGTTCTCTCCCTTTCTCTAGAACCTTCATATATTATATTGACATCTCATCGAGTGAGTGATTTGGGTTTAACGCCGCTTTTAACAGTATTCCAGTTATATCACGGCGTGTCAGCTTAATGTGTGAGGAAACCCCGAAGTGATGCAGGTGCTAGACGGTTATCACTTCGGTGAAACCCGAGAGCACGGGTATGGTGCTGACAAACCTAGAAACATAATCAGGGCGAACCGGGACACATCTAATAGAGGAATATTCATAATCACTAAGATGGTATGTTCATATATAACTGTATAACTGTTAGATCATATTATAGAAACGCCATATACCCGTGAAGATCATGGGCGTCTTCAGCAACCCATGCTTGCCGTAAATGGCGAGTGTGCTTGTCGTAAAAGGTCGACTAACGGGATCAGGTGGTCAGGTTCGCTGGCTTGATTGATGTATGTCATCGTATCCCAATTGCGTGGATCGATGCTCATGATGTCAGTCACTGGATTGTCTGGTCCAGGCTCCATTATTGACAGACCGCCGTCACATAGCTAGAATATTGCTGAGTGCGGCGTTAAACAACAAACAAAACAAAAACAAAAAGTAACGCAACAACTCCTTACTTGGACCTCTTGGTAACTGTACTGTATGAGGTAAGTGTGGACTAACGTCAATGAGTAATTTCCGCATATTAGATGGGGTGATAGTACTAGGTGTCAAACTTCCGAGGGCGAGGATGTTTAACTGTAACTATAGGTAGACCCGTGAAGATCCGGGGTAGAACAGGTCTTCAGCAACCCATGCTTGCCGTAAAAGGCGACGAACGGGATCGGGTGAGGAGACTCGCTGACTTGGTTGATGTTTGTCATCGGTCCCAATTGCTAGGATCGATGCTCATGGTGTAAATCACTGGATCGTTTAGTCAAGACTCGATTATTTACCGACCGCCGTCATATAGCTGGAATATAGTGCAGCGTTAAACAACAAACAAACTGTAGATGATGCAGAGAGAACATTATTTTCTGGATAATTTCACGAATTTCCCGACAAACAACGAACAACCTAGATACACTAACACATAATGCTCTCATTTTAACATCTTGTCTTCTAAGATTATCGTTATGTTAAAGAACTTTACATCAACGTTATGTAAGTCAGTGTCTAAATTATGTCTATCTTATCGAGATTTCAACTCGGGAGATGTTCAATAAAAACCTACAGCGAGAGATAAAGCTTTCCGATTCTTAAATAATATTTCAACATGTTTGTGTACATCTTTCACATCTCCTTCCGATACTGTGCCAAACAGAAACTCAGTGAAGTCCAGATCTCTTTGGTCTATCCTTTTTTTATCCTGAATGACTTGACGCATTTCCTTTAGTTTTGTTGGTGTCTTGTCCAGTGAAAGATATCACTATTTGGTTCTTTGAATGGTACAAAGAAATTTTTCTTTGTGGGATTGCAATAGCGAGTTCGTGCAATACTTGTAACCCTTGCAACGTCGCTTATGTCTTTGTTTAGTCCGACAAGAAGTCATTCATAAGGTTTAAGGTTTTTGACAAAAGTCAAGCGCTCACGGAACGAAATTATCGAATTGTCCTTAACTCTCTTAAAAACTAAATGTTCACGAATTAGCAACGGATTAGTAATGGTCAACCCAAGGGGGAAACTTATCGTCGTTGTCATGATTCTGCAAAGAATACATATGACGCATTTGTACTTGGTTCATACAATAGTTCATGGTTTATGCCTGAAATAGGCCGATGATTGGCTCTAATAACCGCCTTGTTTTGGGTTGTGTTTACGCTCTGTTTTTTGGTGTTTTAGTGTCTAATTTCTGATTGTCAATAACATTGATCTGCGTTTTTCTGTGTCTATGTCTTTAGGTCTTTCACTATATTCCTCATAGCTACAGCATCACTTTCTACCCGTCAGTTGCTTGCTCAGTTGTCTTATCCGGACAAACCCACTTAGGTTGGTAGGGGATTCCAGCTCATTAACTTAACCACAAGTAACTACAGGTTGGGACAAACCAATCGAGTTTAAGCCATCAATTCGCAATGTATTTTCACTGTTGTCGCATTCGTCTTCCTTACCTGAGTTGAAATGTTCACTTTTCAGATATGTCACTTGGTAAACTCATATATTCACTGCACCCTACAAGACATACCCTACATTGAGACATTTAATTCCTATTCTGAGTGCAGCGTTAAACAACAAACAAACTGTAGATGATGCAGAGAGAACATTATTTTCTGGATAATTTCACGAATTTCCCGACAAACAACGAACATCCTAGATACACTAACACATAATGCTCTCATTTTAACATCTTGTCCTCTAAGATTATCGTTATGTTAAAGAACTTTACATCAACGTTATGTAAGTCAGTGTCTAAATTATGTCTATCTTATCGAGATTTCAACTCGGGAAATGTTCAATAAAAACCTACAGCGAGAGATAAAGCTTTCCGATTCTTAAATAATATTTCAACATGTTTGTGTACATCTTTCACATCTTCTTCCGATACTGTGCCAAACAGAAACTCAGTGACGTCCAGATCTCTTTGATCTATCCTTATTTGAACCTGAATGACTTGACGCATTTCCTTTAGTTTTGTTGGTGTCTTGTCCAGTGAAAGATATCACTATTTGGTTCTTTGAATGGTACAAATAATTTTTTCTTTGTGGGATTGCAATAGCGAGTTCGTGCAATACTTGTAACCCTTGCAACGTCGCTTATGTCTTTGTTTAGTCATTCATAAGGTTTAAGGTCTTTGACAAAAGTCAAGCGCTCACGGAACGAAATTATCGAATTGTCCTTAACTAAAAACTAAATGTTCACGGATTAGTAATGGTCAACCTAAGGAGAAAACTTATCGTCGTTGTCATGATTCTGCAAAGAATACATATGACGCATTTGTACTTGGTTCATACAATAGTTCATGGTTTATGCCTGAAAAAGGCCGATGATTGGCTCTAATAACCGCCTTGTTTTGGGTTGTGTTTACGCTCTGTTTTTTGGTGTTTTAGTGTCTAATTTCTGATTGTCAATAACATTGATCTGCGTTTTTCTGTGTCTATGTCTTTAGGTCTTTCACTATATTCCTCATAGCTACAGCATCACTATCTACCCGTCAGTTGCTTGCTCAGTTGTCTTATCCGGACAAACCCACTTAGGCTGGTAGGGGATTCCAGCTCATTAACTTAACCACAAGTAACTACAGCTTCGGGGCAAACCAATCGAGTTTAAGCCATCAATTCGCAATGTATTTTCACTGTTGTCGCATTCGTCTTTCTTACCTGCGTTGAAATGTTCACTTTTAGATATGTCACTTGGTAAACTCATATATTCACTGCACCCTACAAGACATACCCTACATTGAGACATTTAATTCCTATTCCCTTTTTTAGTGCAACTCGTTTATTGATCCACGAATTGGTTTCACATTCCGGCATATATCCTTAAGCAAAATATTTTCATCTTTCCTTTGAACATCCTGCTAAACTGAGATATATATCAAGAATCCATTTCGTACTTATTTCTAAGAGAGATGGTAACGGAGAGAAAAGCAAAAGTCACTTAGGGGCCAACCATTTGACCATTAATACAGTTAGCACCCCCCTAACACCTACCCACCCCTAAGACACACCGGGGAACACCCACACCCACACCCACACCCACACCCGCACCCACCCACACCTACCCGTCATATGCACACCACCAGAAAATCAAATGGTCGATCCTTTACCCAGTATTTGACGTTGTTTACTCTTCATGAATCCGGATCTTAAGGGGACAAAAAGGCCCACAAGTGTAACCCGTTTCTTTCTTCAGGTAGAGGATTTGTTTACAGTAAGTACAAATGGCTGTCACCCGTGGCCCTTTTCACTGTTTGCTGCTGGATATGTTTGTCTGTTGGTCTCCTTACGTTCTGTCTGTGTCTCTGCCAACCACCTTAGTATTTAAGGAGTAGCAGGGCGGTGCCCTTTGGACCTGGCGGCCCAGAGTTTACCTCGTGGGTGACACAAGCCATCCATCTCTTGGCACTTCTTAGCATCTGCCCGTGTAGTAACCACTACTACACTATATGGCTTCTGGACAGTGAGACGTGATGGATTATATGATGTTCTAATACGAATGGTCACGTAGTTCAGTGTTGTCCTGTAAATGAATAGCCTGTCCAAAAGGTCCATCAACATGTATACCCCTTATTATAAACGTCTGCCCGTCTGCCAATACTAATCGTCATGGTCCACATGCCCTCTCGAACAAACAAGATAATAAAGATGACTTTACACCATATGGTCATCGCAGTGTGACTCTTGGCTGGACAGCTATGTTACATAGTTGACATATCTTACATTCAAATTAGACATGTTTCCAACACGATTTGTCAGAAAGGTCAGATGGGTCACGGGATAAACCAGCGTTGTTTATGTATGCTGTTAATATCTACATACTTCCATCGCTATATAAATTTTGATCTATGCTTGTTCCGTGCAGAAAATAACAACTTACAAGCGTTCTCCTGGAGTTATCTAAGGGAAGTATATTACAGTAAGTGCAAACCAGACAAGAATGGTAATACATTCAGTTGGGATGTCTTCACGATTCACCAGCTTTGATGTTATATTTTGCCCAGACCGAAACTGCTCTTCATTGGGCTGGAAGGATGTGCAAATGAGATATGGTTGAATAACTAGCACTTGTCGTTCTTATGGAGTGGGGTCGTTTTCTCGAACAACGAATATCATTAGATTTTTATTGTCATCCTCGTGTGTAAATGCAGTTCCAGTTACACGTCACCGCAGCAAACAGAAGCAAGGCATCGACACTCTGCCCGGGTTCGTGGGCTACGTTCATCTTTTCGTCGTTCAAGAAAGGTTGTGCCGCTGACTTCCGGGAAACCGCAAGCGATGGGCGACCATAATAGGTAGGGAATTATGCGTTTCATAGCGAATCATAGCGACCATGGACAATTTTTTTTAAATGCATGTTTGGCTGCATACTTAATCCGTCACATAGAATATGTCTTCAGCAACCCATGCTTCTCGTTAAAGGCGACTGTGTTTGTCGTAAGAGGCTAAGGCTCACTGACTTGGTTGAAGCATGTCATCGTATCCCAATTGCGTGGATCGAAGCTCATGATATCAATCACTTGATTGTCGGGTCTAGACCCGATTATTTACAGACCGCCGTCATATAGCTTGAATATTGCTGAGTGCGGCTTAAAACAACAAACCAACCAACCAACCGTCACATCATGTGTAATATCTGCAACTGCAAAGCAATGCCTCTTAAAGCATCGTTTATAAATATGGATGCAGTGAAACCTCCTTAATCCATATACGGAACCCTTCTGTTTGCAATTTTCGGGATTAATATATATTCAGTTTCACAAATCATCGGCAATATATAGATATGACCTAAACAAATAACCGCTTAGATGGGTTCAATCCCCAAGGTCGCGTGATATAAAAACTTAAGACATGAAAAGTCAGTACTTGTTATCCTGCCGGGTGCTCGTTATTAACGAGATAAAACAAGGATGAATGAATGAATGAATGAATGAATGAATGAATGAATGAATGAACACACATACGTATTGCTATATCAGTGCAATAATCATGAATGCGACGTTAAACCCTATTTCGCCACCACCGTTTTCATGGCTAGGTTTTTATGACCAATTAAACGAACATATTTAGTTATGTAAAACAACGTCAGCATCAATATATTGGTGACAATGATATGCAAACAAAAACTACATTAAGCTCATAACAGCACATACACTACATACATTAATAATAATGCATGAATGGGAATTGTCCACTGGAGATAAATGTATTGTTTGTTATTGATAGACAGCGACACCACGGAGCGTCAACTTGAAAGAAGACATTCCATATGAACCTGTACCATACCAAATATTTCTATAAAAAAACAGAGTCTATCTATCATGAACTTATTTAAACAATGTTTCTAAACCACATTTACTTTCTTGAAAATAGGATATTAATGTAAAAGTGATACACTTTCAATGCCGTGGAATATTTGCACAAATATGGAAGACATGGCTAAGAAACCAACAATGAAAATTAATCATGAAAAAAATCAACAAATTCAGATTTTTTAAAATATGTACATTTGGAAAACACTAAGGTTGCGAGTTGTAATTGATGGTTGTCGGCGTGAGTCACGGGTTTACTCTGATTAAGATCCTTGGTTTGTAACCACGATACGCCAGTGGTGTTGAGCTGCTTCTCGCTGTGTTTCTGTCTCACAGTGTCTCGTAGGAACTCGTGTTATTTGCTCCTTTATCTATAGAATCCTAGAAGTGACAATGTGTGAAGCCCATTGCTGGTGTACCCCGCGGTGATATTGCTGGAATATTGCTAAAAGCATTGTCGTGTTGTCGCATTGTTGCGTTGTCGCCCTTTCAAAAACAAGTAAACGGTGTCCAAATACACCAAAGCGCTACAATGGGACAACGCGACATCTAGTCATTTGTCGCACTGTCGCAATATCGCATTGTCGCACTTTGAATTATGCTATTTTTATATTTTACCAAAGGACGACATTGCGACATTCTTCAAGGTAAAAATAAGTCGCGTTGTCGCATTTTCGCTCCATCAAAAAGGTGTAAAAAGACGTTAAAATGCGCGACATCGCGTTGTATCAAAAGTTTCACGTTTCACGTGGAGGACACGGACGAAGGCTCCGCTTTTCGCTGTATAGAGTTGCGTCCCTGAGGCGTGCCAGAAATCTGTGATCGTGGGTTCGAATCCCGGTTTGCCCTGATTATGTTTGTCAGCACCATACCAGTGCTCGTGTGTTTCACTTAAGTGGAAAACGCCTAAAACCTGCATCACTTCGGTCCTCACTCACTCACTCACTCACTCACTCACTCACTCAAAATACCCACCCAATCACTAACTCAAAGACAACCCACTTACTCACTCAAAAACAACCCACTTACTCACTCAAAGTCCACTCACTCACTCATCCACTCGTGCGGTCGGGTAGTGGTTAAAGCGTTCGCTCGTCACGCCGAAGACCCGGGTTCGATTCCCGACATGATGACAATCTGTGAAGACCATTTCTAGTGATATTGCTGGAATATTGCTAAAAGCGGCGTAAAACCATACACACTCACTCACTCATCCACTCACGAGTTTCCCATACACTTCAGCGTGAATGGTGTGACACAGCTGAGAATCACCAACTACGACAAGTATCTCAGCAGGCCGGCCTTAAGAAGAAAACCATCGGCTCTCCGGGAACTCCAGAGTAAGTCTCGTCCCAAACTAGAACTGTCCCAAAGTGATCATCCAAACACACCATTTCTCCTCATAACTGATTATTGAGTTGCAATCTTGGTATTTTACATATCATGAATGATATTATCGATGCCATAAACCGATCCGATAACCTTTGTTAATATATGTATGATGGCAGGCAGCTCGCATGATCTACTTCTAAGCTCCATACATTCATGCAATGCAATACTGTCCAACGTGAAACTATATGTATTTCCCAGGTGTTTTGTACAAACATGACTGAAAATCATTTGCCACAACCTGATAAATGGGGCGGTTCATTTAAACAATTGTATTTATTGTATTAGATGTATTTATACTCAGTTTCAAAAGCTATCTTGATTAAAATATGGATTATTTTTTTTATAGAATAGCTTGGTTTGAAAAAAAACATCTTAACCCTCGTGTGTATCCGTTTCGTAAATATCATATATTAGAAATAACAAATATTATACCTTACAATTATATGGTACATTTATGACACGGAATGACATCCGGCTAACGACCATCTCTGGTTGTGACAGGGTATGTTGGGTCCGGTCTGGTGTTGATGGCTGGAGGGATGCCGAACGGTGGACTCTTCCCCATTGTGGAGGCGGATCTCGTCCTAAAGTGAGTTGCTATTGTACTTGGGGGCGGTGGGGTAGCCCAGTGGTTAACGCGTTTACTCGCCACGGGTTCGATTCCCCACATGTGTGAATACAATGTGTGAAGCCCATTTCTGGTGTCCCCCGTCGCGATATTGCTGGAATATTGCTAAAAGCGGCGTAAAACTATATTCACTCACTACTATTGTACGCAAAGTGCAACATCCTTTTTCATTTAGAATTATAACTTCCACTGATGTGACGTCATACATTTCAGCGAACACATATCCTCAGGCTATTATACAGTATGGTTCCTGGTTGCCCTTGCGTTGTGAAAACTTTGTAATGATTAAATGCAAAATCTTTACGCCATCTGTTCCGACCCATCTTCATTTAGCCGGTAGCTAGCATTCCTCTTTTCAGAGGAAAACTGTCATATTTTGGTATTTCGAATCAAACGCTATTCAGATGAAATATCAAATTGATAGACCAGTGAAGATCCGGGGTAGAATAGGTCTTCAGTTACCCATGCTTGCTGTGAAAAGTGACTATGCTAGTCGTAAGAGGCGACTGACGGGATCGGGTGGTCAGGCTAGCTGATGGTTGATGCATGTCATTGTATTCCAATAGCGTGGATAGATGCTCATGCTATCAATCACTGGATTGTCTGGTCCAGACTCGATTATTTACAGACCGCCGTCATATAGCTGGAATATTGCCGAGTGCGGCGTTAAACAACAAACAAACAAAATCAAATTAATAACCGAATCAGATAAACAATAGTATACCAGTATATTCAGGTGTCGTTTCTTATGTTTGAGTACATACATGTATAGGAGTCATGCCTCTATTTATTTTCTTAAAAGTATTTTTTGATTCATGTTCTATGTGTTTCAATATAGAGATGGTCGGCGGTTAACAATAGGACCACAAGAGATGAAGGGTGCTCTTCAGTATGGCGTCACTAAAGGGTAAGTTATGTAACTGCACACGTGTCTTATACGATACTCCTAACTCTTTTACTGTGTACCTAACTTCAATACTTGCGATGGGAGGGGGCACGCCAACATACCATATGCAGAGTTGCATCCCTTAATTAGATACCAGGATCCGATGGTCGAGTCCCAGAATCGCCCTTGGTTTCACCAGTTCTAACGTCCTCGATCTGCATCACTTCAGGCTTTCCCACACATTAAGTTGATAGGCCGTGATATGGAATACTGTTCAAAGCGTCGTTAAAGCAAACTCCCTCATTCTTATATATCTCTACAAGCCGTGTTTCAGACAACTGACATGATACCATATAAACTATACTGTATATTAACAATTAAATTAACTATATTTATTGCATTTTCTATTGCTACGCCGACACGTCGTGATTAAACTGATGTCCCTCTCCACACCTACGTCTACGCCTGACTGCAGTTTAGGACTGTGTGAAACTAGCCCGCCACGCTGTTTTATAACTGTAATACTGTTCATAGAATGTTTATAGAATAAAAAGATATACATTCCTATAATGTAGTTTCTATAAAGGTTTATGTACTTTCTGATATTATATTCGCGACATTTGTATTTAGCATGACAGATATCATCGACTGGTTGAGGGTGTTACAACGCCAAGTTCACCACCCCCCGACCCTCCCCCGTGACAGCACCCCACCGTCAGCTTCCAGTGACATGGACCTCATCATGTGCAATGGCTGCCAGGAAGCCATTAGTAAGGTGAAACACACGCGCAGAAACGTACACAAACGCACATCAAAATAATATCCGTGTTTACAAAAAACATATTTTATCTACGGTGTAGAGAGTAATGGTGTTATTTATTAGTCCAAGGATGCCGCAAGTCTCTGTGCAGGGTTGTCTCCTGTACGCATGCCAGGAACCTATGATCATGGTTTCGGATCCCAGATTCGCCCTGATTATGTTTCGAGGTTTGTTTAGCAACGTGCGCATGGCAGTCGGCTTTATGATATAACTGAAATACCGTTCAAATCGACGTTTAGCAAAGCTTAATCACCCACTCATTAGTCCAAACCTACTGGAAAACGTACTAAGAGTTTTATAAGTCCATTTTAAATACCATTTGTTTTCATCCTAATGCCACTTTATTGAAACGTCTTCATAACGTCTCATATGTTTCAGACATTGGAAGCGGTTCTGAATGAAGGGGACTCAATCTTGCTGGAGGAAGCAACCTACCCAAACGTGATGAGCGTGGTGAGGCGCCAGTGTTGTAATTGATGTTATCATTTAGTGCCATCTTCGTGAGTATGGGGTGTATTTAATGCACAGCCATTACAGGCTCGGATATCTTGTATTTACCGGATCAATAAATAAATACTGCAGGAAACATTCCAACGCAAATAAATGATGCAGTTGACAAATCAGGTTTGAGTCAATGAGTGAGTGAGTGAGTATGGTTTTACGCCGCTTTTAGCAATATTCCAGCAATATCACGGCGGGGGACACCAGAAATGGGCTTCACACATTGTACCTATGTCGGGAATCGAACCTGGGTCTTCGGTGTGACGAGCGAACGCTTTAACCACTAGGCTACCCCACCGCCCCTTGAGTCAATGAGAACGGATGGAAAAGGTTGAACGCTATAAACATGCTCTAGGCTGTGGACTTGGCGCATTATAAATATACACAGATTAAAATAAATACATGCAGCAAAGAGGGTTTTGGCGATCCTGGCATAGCCAAGCTGGAAGGCTCATCATCAGCTCAGGGTCCTTGTCCCCGCTATACGCAGCCCAGACAGGGAATGGGACTTCTCCCAGGAAGCACTGCCTAGTCGAACCCATCCAGATCTTCTCGGAGAATGTGAAGACTCCCCAACATTGCAGCCTTCTGCATTGATCAGATTGTCAGAGGAGTTGTATCTGCGGCAGCAAACCCGGGTACTCTCCTAGTATCAGACAAGATATTGGGAGGTTGGGTATTAGGTACCGAGAACAATGGGGAGTCGAACAACTATTACTTGGGATGCAAGCGTGACATTTCAAAAGCGACTGTTCCTGAGCAGCAAACAGAAAGCCTTCTGTTTCACTTTCAGGCCAGCCGACTTCATCCGAGCGAAGGACTCTGCAAGGTTGCTGATCTTCTTCTCAACACAGTTCACAAAAACTCGATGCAGTGATCGTTCAGATAGCCACTTCTTGAAAGACTGAATCTGGGCCGATTTGATATGACACTTCGCTCGGTTGTCACTCATTTCTGTACCGTCCAGCAGTACAGAACCGTCAACAAAATCAACATTAAGATGGAGATTATGCCCCACATCCTTGCCTTGTTTACGAAAACTGTGGAATGGCTTGTTTTCATCACGAGTCTTGACATGCTTAACAAGCGGATCATCAGACAAATAAATGTGTGCAAAAAGTGCACAATGCAATTCTATCATGAAGAGCCCCCGCGTTAATCAAACCACACCCTCCCATTATAATTGTTAAATATAAGCGATTGAGGGAAGAACGAATGTCTATTGTCTGACATGATTCCTCGTATGAGAGTGTGAGTACCCTGAAGTGGTCCCATCAACAACACCAAAAGAATACGAAAAGATGGGTCCAGCATAAGTATTTGTGGCTTTGACTCTGAATAAGTATTTTCAGCTCTGAACTCATTATTTCTTAAGTGTATATGTATTCTGCCGGATATTCTTCCTTGATATTGTCATTCTGGAGTTTGTCCCTTACCTGCATCCCTAAGTACGTGTAGACCTGACCTTCCACGTGATGTCATTATTATCATTAGTCCAAGTAAGTCCATTTATGATATGATCATTTTTACTTTTGTCATAAGGGACGTCCACTCGGCGCAAAAGCAGTGTCGGTACCATGTGATTCATCCGGCATGATACCATCAGAACTTCAGAAAATACTCGCGACCTGGGACACCGACAAATGCGGTCCGAGGCCAAAGATATTGTACTGTGTTCCTACAGGCGGTAACCCAACCGGCGTCAATTGGTCTCTAGACCGAAAGAAGACAGTGTATAGTATTGCTCGCAAGTACGACTTCTTGATTCTGGAGGACGACCCTTACTACTATATCCAATACAGCAGAGTGAGTCATTCCTCGTGTCGTGACTCGAGTCAGAATTATATTGTATATATTTGATTGTGTCCTGATTCAAATGTAATCGCTCCGATTCAACCGGAAGCGCTCGTTAAATCTTCAACATCATCATCATCATCATCATCATCATCATCATCATCTTCATCATCATCTTCATCATCATCATCAAATGTAATTGTTTCCGTATTTTCGCTTGATTTTCCCCGGATTCACATTGAATTGTGTCAATAACGTGATTCGATATTATCTAGATTCAGATTTTTATTTTATTGTGTTTGTTGGTTAAGATTATTCCCATTCAGTTTTGTATTGGTTCAGTTAGGGTTCGATATTAATTACCCTTTATGATGTAGTTGTTTATCCCTGTCGCAAATCCTTCTGTAGTACATTAATTAACAAGTCCCCTAAATATGAAGAGGAAGTGTGGGTTTGTTGTTAATAGGCCACAGTGAGCATTATACCAGCTATATCACGGCGAACAGGTATGAATTTACTTGTACCCCCACGGCCTCACAAGCCCGACTGTCAGATCCCAATTTTTGGGACTCTTACGACAAGCATGAGAACATAGCGACCTATTCTGACCCTGAATCCTCACAGCGAACATACACGTATTGCGAACCATCCGCCGCAATTGCTCTGTAGAGTTGCCTCCTTTAGACGTGATCATTGGTTGGAATCCCCTGAGTGGGGTATCCATGTTTAACTGCGACATGGTATCTCATTAATTAATCCGCACTAATAGAAGCAGTCACACACACACACACACACACACACACACACACACACACACACACACACACACACACACACACACACACACACACACACACACACACACACACACACACGTACATACACGTAGCAAAAAAAGTGCAACAACCTTCAACGCGGCGTTAAACCTTATTTCACCTCACCTCACTATCTTCTATTAATCCAATATTTTATGAATACGACACACCGAGGGAATAATTCATTGTTTACAATTGTCATGACATATTTAGAAAGCGGCACCATGTTTTACAGACATATTCATGTATAACGCTGGAATAGGTTTTACATGCATTTTAACTGCATTAGGTCATATGTCAGTATGTAAGTTAAACAAGGAGTTTCACAATGTGCTACCACCAGATGTGGGAAAATACAGTATGATTGACAATCGGATTAAGTCAAGGGGGATTTTACTTTATTTATGATAATTCGCATTAGTTCGCTTTGTTCCCAATATACTTTGATTGCGATTCAAATATTTTTTGTGTGTGATCGGTGTATAGGTATTGTAGAAATTATGTGAGTGAGTGAGTTGTGTTTTTAACCCCGCTTTTAACTGTATCCCAGTTATATCACGGCGTGTCAGCTTAATGTGGGAGGAAAGCCCGAAGTGATGCAGGTCTCAGACGTTTACCACTTCGGTGAAACCCTAGAGCACCGGAATGGTGGTGACAAACCTAGAATCATAATCGGAGCGAACCGGGATTCGAACCCACAATCATATGTTTCTGGCGTGCCCAAAGGACGCAGCTCTGCACAGCGAATTGCGGCGCCTTAGACGACTGGGCCACCCGTGCCCCCTTATGTAAATTCAACCGTAGGATACTGTTGGGTGTTATTGAACAGGTCAAATAACTTCTCGTAAAACCCAGCTATGGCAACATCTGATTTGGTACTGATGATGTGGAATTCTCACTCTGTGATTATGCATTATGGGGCAGTCTGGGTGAACTAAACATTTGGGAGTTTATATTCGGTTGAGCTGTTCAACGCTTCTTTGAGCAGTACTTCAATACAGTACTTCTTAGTAATATCCCGGCGTCTCGGCTTAATGTGGCAGAAGCCGAACGTAGTGCAAGTCTCAGACGTGTCAGTGGTTAAACCCTCGAGCAAAGGTATGGCGCTGACAAACTAAGGGTCATAATCGAGACACAATTATAAGTTTATCATATCTAAGGGACGCAACTCTGTGCAGGGATTTGCGACACGTTTGATGACTAGACAGCCAGTATCCCTATTCAGATGAGCTCTCATGTGGGCTACGTGACGATGTAGAATATATTTAACAGGTATGAGCGTTCGTTTCAGCCACTGACGCCCAGTTTTCTATCCCTAGACGAAGATGGTCGAGTAATCAGATGCGATTCCTTTTCTAAACTCATAGCTGCAGGGTAAGTCTTGACACGACACTGAACAGAGCTGATACGCTTCTGTGATCTTGTGGATTGAGCTTCGGCCCTAACAGGAAGGTCGGTAGTTCGATCACCTAGCCACGACCTACCGAAAGCCATTAAACGATGATTCTTGTTACCCAAAGGTGGTTTCCATTTTAACGTAAATATAAAACGTCAACGTCAGTCTCGTTTATCTGCCGAAAAAGATTCCATTGGGCGTAAAAGGCAAAATAGTGGTGAAAAGTATATGAATGGATCACCATTCCGGTCCATATGTGTTCGTAAATATATTTTCAGCATTGTGAAAAACATTTAACCAAATAAAAGCTTTGTTTGTAGTTTGGAAAACAAAAGCAAAATAGACCAGGTTTACAAAGATTTAGACCACCAACGTAAGAGATAGGTCTTTATTTATGCCGAATCAGAATCCATATGGCGTAAATGACAAATTAATGATGAAATGATATGAATGGATCATTTCAAATAAGTACAGTGTATGATGCCTGTGACATTTCTGCATTGCCTATGGTGTATCTATCAGGGCGCGACTTGGCTTCATCAGTGGCCCAAAGTACCTCCTTCAGAAGCTTGTCCTCCACCTGGACTCTTCCGTGGCCTGCACCAACAACCTGTCACAGGTATGTAACCTCAAACCTGCACCAACAACCTGTCACAGGTATGTAACCTCAAACCTGCACCAACATCCTGTCACAGGTATGTAACCTCAAACCTGCACCAACATCCTGTCACAGGTATGTAACCTCAAACCTGCACCGACATCCTGTCACAGGTATGTAACCTCAAACCTGCACCAACAACCTGTCACAGGTATGTAACCTCAAACCTGCACCAACATCCTGTCACAGGTACATGTATGTAACCTCAAACCTGCACCGACATCCTGTCACAGGTATGTAACCTCAAACCTGCACCAACATCCTGTCACAGGTATGTAACCTCAAACCTGCACCAACATCATGTCACAGGTATGTAACCTCAAACCTGCACCAACATCCTGTCACAGGTATGTAACCCCAAACCTGCACCAACATCCTGTCACAGGTATGTAACCCCAAACCTGCACCAACATCCTGTCACAGGTATGTAACCCCAAACCTGCACCAACATCCTGTCACAGGTATGTAATCTCAAACCTGCACCAACATCTTGTCACAGGTATGTAACCCCAAACCTGCACCAACAACCTGTCACAGGTATGTAATCTCAAACCTGCACCAACAACCTGTCACAGGTATGTAACCTCAAACCTGCACCAACATCCTGTCACAGGTATGTAACCCCAAACCACTACCAACATCCTGTCACAGGTATGTAACCCCAAACCTGCACCAACATCCTGTCACAGGTATGTAACCTCAAACCTGCACCAACATCCTGTCACAGGTATGTAACCTCAAACCTGCACCAACATCCTGTCACAGGTATGTAACCCCAAACCTGTACCAACATCCTGTCACAGGTATGTAACCTCAAACCTGCACCAACATCTTGTCACAGGTATGTAACCTCAAACCTGCACCGACATCATGTCACAGGTATGTAACCTCAAACCTGCACCAATATCCTGTCACAGGTACATGTATGTAACCTCAAACCTGCACCGACATCATGTCACAGGTATGTAGTCTCAAACCTGCACCAACAATCCGTCGACAAGTGAGTTACCCCAACCTGCACTAACAACTTAATCCATGTCTGTCACTCCCTGCCTCCACCAATAATCTGTCAAAAGGTATATTGCCATAAGCTTCCCCCCAACCTGCACGAATCACTAAATAGTGACGATACCAAGTGTTCACCAACATACGAACGCATCCCGCCCCATCTGTGGTACCTGCCACAAACACATGCAATTGCATGTCAATAGTTTACCTGAAATAGTAGGGGAACATATGGTACAAGTCAAAACAGGGAATTGCATCAGGCATATGAGTCATTTCCAAAATTTGTAAGATTTTTTGTTATATTTTAGTATCTCATTAATTATGTTATTCTAAAAATGTGTTTTAATCTTAATTTGTATCTTATATATGTCTGCACATACTACTTTATACAAAATAGCTATAAATTATAGTTAAGCTCCAAAAAATGACTTTGAAGGGTCAACTTTTCCCCATTTTGGCTTGTCACAAGCCTGATGGCCCAACTTCATGATATTCACTGATGCGTCAAAATGGAAAGGTTCTCCACACGTCTACCATAAAACGTTTTGAAAGCCTTAAAATTTGTAAACCTGATAACAAAAACTTTGAGCAAATTCGTATGACGCTCTTTAGGATGTCCGCAGAATGAGCTCAAAGCTTGTGAAATGTGTCTCCCAAAGGTTAGAAGTACTGAAACAGTATTTGACATAAAGGGAAGAGTGACCATTGGAGAGTTGAAGTCATCCCTCATGACATACAGTTTTGTGGATAGTGTCAAAGCACGGAATGGAATGAAAACTCCGTGAGTAATCTGTTCGTGTTACTGATTCAGATATTCATGTTGTAGACAGTCATCATGAAGATCCTGGTGGACATGGGACATGACGGCTTCCTGCGACACGGGGAGAAACTCGCGGCCTTCTACAAGGAAAGAGCTGACAAGATGGTCGCCATTGCTCAGACACACCTCAAAGGTGAGTCCTTATGATACAACGAGATTTCTCCATTCTTGTAAATATGGGTGAATCGCCTGTAACAATAAGGAAGAATATAAGGCAATATTTCCTATTTGAAAAACGTTCAGTTCAGGATATAACAAACAACAAGAGTCTTGAAATACCATTACGAAGTTATATCAACATGAGCGTTACTTTAAATACCATTCGGTCTTTCTGTTATATCCTCCTGAGCCTTACGTTTCACACAATTCGTTCTATATGGTTATATACAGCCAAACACACTCCAACTTTGTTTTGTCGAATTTACGGATTATTCATCATATTCGGTTGTGTCGAATCTCGGATAATTCGAATAATTTACGAAGGTCCCTTAAAGTTCGACACATCAGTGTTTGATATAATGTATTTATACACACAACTGAACATTACATTAAATGCCATTCGGTACTTCTGATTATATATTATTCTGAATAGTTACGTTAAATAACTTAGAAGAAATACAGAAGAAATATCAAAACAAGCGGTCGTAATTGCTTTCTAATTTAATATTCATCCCTTCATAAAATCTTGCGACTAGGTCTGGCAGAGTGGTCTCCCCCTGCTGGCGGGATGTTCATATGGATGAAGCTCCTTGGGGTGAAGAGTTCCCAGCCTGTTGTCCAGCGAGTCATCGAGAAGGGGGCAGTGTTAATGGCTGGACATCACTTCCTTCCCGAACCGAGGGAAACCCCCTACATCCGCGTGTCTTTCTCGTACGCATCAGAAGATGACATGAACAAGGTAACTCGACATTATTTTCTTTTCATAGGAAGGTACATGTAGGGGCACGGGTGGCCCAGTCGTCTAAGGCGTCGCGATTCGCTGTGCAGAGTGAGAATTCCATATCATCAGTACAAAATCAGATGTTGCCATAGCTGGGTTTTACGAGAAGTTATTTGACCTGTTCATTAACACCCAACAGTATCCTACGGTTGAATTTACATGGGGGGGTGGGGGACGGGGGGCCCAGTCGTCTAAGGCGCCGCATTTCGCTGTGCAGAGCTGCGTCCCTTGGGCACAACAGAAACCTATGATTCTGGGTTCGAATCCTGGTTCGCCCCGATTATGATTCTAGGTTTGTCAGCACCATACCCGTGCTCGTGGGTTTCACCGAAGTGGTAAACGTCTGAGACCTGCATCACTTCGGGCTTTCCTCACACATTAAGCTGACACGCCGTGATATAACTGGAATAATGTTAAAAGCGCCGTAAAACCAAACTCGGTCAGTCACTCACTCATAGGAAGGTGATTAGTCATCCATTGTTATGTCTCGCGTATTATTGAAGGGTGTACATGTATGACTGGGGGAACTGGTTTTCAAATCACCATCAGATAGGACTAGGCAGATATTTCAAGCGTTATAGGGATTGTAGTATACACAGGAAATTCCTGGGCGTGCCATACTGATCCATCCTGATTATGTTTCTCGATTTATAAGCACCGTGCCTGTGCTGAACGTTTAAGACTTGCATCACTTCCGACATCAAGCTGACATTCCGCGATACATCTTGTAACAGGAATACTGCGTTACTGCAGCGTCCGACTATGATCCCTTTGCTTTGATTGTGGGTGTAACCAAAGAGGCTAAGATGGGCGCTCCCATTGTATTCTCACACACATTGATATAACTTATATGCTGCTCAATGACACCTGCCTGATCAAGACATCTTCTACCTTGTTGTAGGCATTCACCTGGCTGGCTGAGGCATTGAATGAATTCCACGAAGCTAAAGGAAACAACTAAAAGGAACTTGACAAAGACAATAAACATCATGAAATAAAAAAACACGTTCACGTGATCGTTCATTATTTACAATATTGTTCTCTCAGTCGCAATTCGCTGGACAGAGTTGCGTCGCTTAGGCGTGGCAGGATCCTAAACTGGTGGATTTGAATCCTAGAACCGCCTTGATTATGATCCTTGATCTGTCAGCGCTATACCTCGTAAGCATAAATATGGCATGCCATGATATACTGTGGAGTTCAACACGTTCTCCATTGCACGGGTAGTAACAAAACTCGATCGCATACACAACTGTTCGAAACACCAGATGACCAGAAGAAATCATTTAGGTACTATGTTCTCATAAGGTTGCATGGTCTGGGTTGTCTCGTCCAGACTCTATTATTTACACGCGTCCGTTATACAGGTAGAATATTGCTGAGCGCGGCTTTAAACAACATGATATATGTGAACTATTGAACATTCCAGTTTAGTATAATAGCATCTGTGGCAAAATACCACCGTCTGTACAATCACCGCTGTTTTCACACAAGGACGTCGACGGAATGACGGGAACTCTTTGATGACGAAATTTGATTTCCTCACATCATCATCCACACGTCACACAGGACAAACAATGAGTTCTAACAAAAGGACCAAGCTACATATTCAAGAAGCTGCACTTAAATAATGTGATTAGATTATAAACAAAACTAAAAAGAGAATTTGTTCATAACTATAACATCTTATGGACATGTGTTCTTCGTGATTATGAACATGTGTTCTTCATGTTTATGGGCATGTGTTCTTATTGCTTATGGGCATGTGTTCTACGTGCGTATTGACATGTGTTCTTCATGCTTTATGGGTATGTGTTCTTATTGCTTATGGGCATGTGTCACGTGCGTATTGACATGTGTTCTTCATGCTTATGGGCATGTGTTCTACGTGCGTATTGACATGTGTTCTTCATGCTTATGGGCATGTGTTCTACGTGCGTATTGACGTGTTCTTCATGCTTATGGGCATGTGTTCTACGTGCGTATTGGCATGTGTTCTTCATGCTTATGTGCATGTGTTCTTCATGCTTATGGGCATGTGTTCTGCATGCTTATAGGCATGTGTTCTTCATGCTTATGGGCATGTGTTCTTTAAGCTTATGGGGATGTGTTCCGCATGCTTATGGAGATGATGTTCATCATACTTATGGGCATGTGTTCTTTATGCTTATGGGCATGTGTTCTTATTGTTTATGGGCATGTGTTCTTCATGCTTATGGGCATGTGTTCGTCTTGCTTATGGGCATGTGTTCTTCGTGTGTATTGACATGTGTTCTTATTGCTTATGGGCATGTGTCCTTCATGCGTATGATTAATGGGCATGTTCTGAGAGAGAGAGAAGGAGAAGGATATAGAAGGATATGTTTTGTCCACAGAAATGTTGATACGTATCCTCGTTAACAGACACATGGATGCGTGTCCTTGACGTTTACGAACAACTTTATACGTGTCAGAAACCATTAGAACAGGTCTTTTCACTTACACAAATGATGCCACCCATGTAGATAGGTTTCGTGTTTGTTCACGGATGTGAGGTTACCTACTTTTGATCACAGACAGTTGAACAAGTGTTCTTGATGTTTAAAGACAGGACTGTTATATTCGTGTCCTTGTATGAACGTCAAACGGACACTACTATGGAGAATACGAACAGGAATGCCCACGAGGCATTGACGTTTTTTAATAATTAAACAAATATATCGATATATTCACCTAAGGCATAGTTATTATCCCGTACCTCAAATTCACAGGGGGACGTCTGATACGTCAGGTATGACGTCTCCATGACGAATATAGGATATACATACGATGATGTTAACGCTGGAAACGCACTGAATGCTTCTTGCAGTTAACTTTCAAAATACGTGACTGAGGTATATTTTAGCAAAGATATTTGATACAAATAATAAGTTTGTCACGTACAACTACCTACACAATGAGTGACTGGTCTCCATAGACATGCGTTTCTTCGGACTGATTTCACCGTTTGTGTCGACATTATGCCCTGTCAGATATACAGTAAACTACGGTTATAACGAACTCAAAGGGACTATTATTTTTGATTCGTTATAACCGTAGTTCGTTATAAGCATATATACAGCATATAGTCGGGACTAAAAAGTAAGTTCGTTATATCCGTCAGTTCGTTATAAGCGTGTTCGTTATAACCATAGTTTGCTGTAGTAGAATATAGGTAGTTTTGCTTTACATTGCACATTACCAAGTCATTCTGGAAGAACACGGCTGAGCCATAATATGGCTTTGTCATTCATCGGGAACTTTAAGTGCAGGAATATCTTAGCGTGTCATTATAATACTACAATTGACACGAAAACGCATGTACATGGCATGAATATATAAAATATTTTCACAAATATCAATGCCTTGAATAGTTCTTTGGCTCTCACCTGTAAAGGTTAATAGCCCCAATGAACACCCATACAGTGAAAGTCAATGACAGTGAATATCCCTTGTTCGCCTCGAATTATGTGTACATAATTTTATTTTGTACAGACATACACTATCGAACTGTATCGAAAAAAGGTATTTCCTCAAAACAAGACATTACATGAGCGTATATATATATACTCAAACTGATCTACAGTAGCATCGTTTGTCCTTTGGTTACAACAAATACAATCACCAGAAGAAAAATATTTTGCACCGCCTCCTTAAGTCAGTCAGAGGACGTAAAACAGCCGACAAGGTCAACTTCATTCCGGAGTAGTAGGGGTAGCTGTAGTTGTAATGTCAGTAGTAGTAGTAGTAATAGTAGTAGTAGTGGTGGTGGTGGTGGTGGTGGTGGTGGTGGTGGTGGTTGTAGTGGTAGTAGTAGTTGGAGTAATAATAGTCGTTTTGGTGGTTGCAGCAGTGGTGTTGGTGGTGGTTGTACTAGTGGTAGTAGTAGTTGAAGTAGTATGAGTGGTATTGGTGGTAGCAGCTGTAGTAGTAGTAGTAGTAGTAGTAGTAGTAGTTGTAGCAGCAGCAGCATTATAGTAGTAGTACTTTCTTGTATTTTCCATATTAGTAGTACTTTCCATTTTCAGTCTGTTCGTTTCGTAATGGGGGCACGGGTGGCCCAGTCGTATGAGGTGCCGCAATTCGCTGTGTAGAGTTGCGTCCCTTGGGCACGTCAGAAACCTATGATTGTGAGTTCGAGTCCCGGTTCGCCCCGATTATGTTTCTAGGTTTGTCAGCACCATACCCGTGCTCGTGGGTATCACCAAAGTGGTAAACGTCCGAGACCTACATCACTTCGGGCTTTCCTCCCACATTAAGCTGACACGCCGCGATATAACTGGAATACTGTTAAAAGCAGCTTTAAACCCAACTCACGCACTCGTTTCGTAAACCAACCCAAAAATAGTGTAATTCACCTGGAAATGTAGTCGATATGTAATCGACGGTTTGAAATGTCTCCAAGTACAGGCACTAAACCACATTTGCTAGCACTATAGATCGGCATCCGTCTGGACTAGTACAAGCAGCCACACACACTTGGTGCTGGGTTTCGACTTTTTATTATACATATGTTGGTATAAAAAGAATTTCCGAAAAGTGTATCGTGTTTCTATCAACTGGCCGCGTCATACCAAAAAAACGTTAAAAGATGGTACTTCTTGTTATCCTGCCTGGCGCTCTATATAAGGAGATAACACATGAACTGCTCGGAGACAGTATAATGTGCCTAAGTAGGGTATTCTTGTTAACCTGCATCATGGTATCTCAATGGGCCCCTCACTATAAAACCGAAAGAAGTCTTGATTAGTTCAAGCACACACACACACACACACACACACACACACACACGCACGCACGCACGCACGCACGCACGCACGCACGCACGCACGCACGCGCGTTGCTATATAAGTTCAATAATCTTGGACGCGACGTTAAACCCCATTTCACTGCACCTTCAGTCAGTGAGTTCAAAGATAAGACCTTATGACATGACATATTTAGAGAAGATGTTTTTGTTGTTAAAATATCACGTAAACGTGATAGCTGTTGGACAACAACCATTAAGTATTATTTTTAAATTCACACGCACCACCAAAGTCAAACAATATTGCACCTGTTCATGCCTACCTGCCATGCCTACCAGCCCGGATGACCTTGAAAACCTTTCATGTGATCCCATGACTGCATAAAAATAGAAACAAAACCATTGCTCAGAAAGCCTGCAAGGTCTGAGAGACACAGGTCCTGGTAAAGTCTCATCGGGGAAAATGGGCGAAGACGCTGCTCCCGGGTAAGTCTTCTCCTGTCCTCCACCATTACTGACATATCTCAGAAAAATAGGAAATGTTACCAACACCGTGACGTCGACAACTTCCTGTCTGTCTTTAGGTTGCAGGAGCCGGGTGTCGCAATTCGACACGTTTTTATGGCCAAACAAGTGATATTGCACGTGCATGTCATGTTGGTGTGTTTCGGCGCCAGGCTCTTACGTGATTGTGTTTTTTGCGATTTTTCCATCTTTCCACCAAATTTCTGCCGTACTTCATTCAATCCCAATCCATGCAGAAATGACCCAAAAACGACAACTTTGAAATTACTCATGTTACCCCTATCGTCCTTCAAGATCCTTGGCGATCATAACATCTACTGTCATACTTCAATACCGGCTGTAATGTGTACCCAATTCCTTCATAAGTATCACACAACTATTACTAGTAACTAATATCTCTTACAATGTTAGAAATATGAAGTTACTTCCAAGTATCATCTACTTATTTTAAGAGCATACAATATAATAAGGCAAGTTAGCAATAGTTCAGGGAGATGTCTGGATTGTTGCCAAGGTGTGGCAGTTTTGACGACGTAATCGAACTCTCCAACGGACCTCATGCGCGCAACGAATCGTTTAGAAATGGGACATTCCTCTCCACGTACACGGACTAATATCTTTGTGACCTTGTGTCCCTGCATGTCAAATATTGTTAAACACCAGCCGATCCCATATAATGTAAGACGTGGGACCGAGACAAGGCGCATGCTCCT